CAAAATATACAAAGAACTCAAGAAGCTAGTCTCCAAAACACCAAACAATGAAATTAAAAAGTGGGATACAGAACTAAATAGACAATTCTCAATAGAGGAATCTAAAATGGCTGAAAGACACATAAGAAAGTGTTTAACATTCTTAGCCATCAGGGAAATGAAAATCAAAACAACTCTGAGATACTATCTTACTCCTGTCAGAATGGCCAAAATAAAAAACACCAATGACAGTTCATGCTGGAGAGGATGTGGAGAAAGGGGAACACTTCTCCACTGCTGGTGGGAGTGTCAACTTGTACAGCCACTTTGGAAATCAGTATGGCGACTCCTCAGGAAAATGGGAATCAGTCTACTACAAGATCCAGCAATTCCACTCTTAGGCATATACCCAAAAGAAGCACATTCATACAACAAGGATATCTGTTCAACGATGTTCATAGCAACACTATTTGTAATAGTGAATTATTTTTCAAAACTGCATGTAGCGTTAGTTTCCCTTTCCTCACAGGTGGATGGTATCCGTGTATGTGAAGAAGCCCTAACAGGCACACACAAAAAGAGGGTTCCTGTCTTCTCCCCTCTCCTTTCCCATGCCCCTCCTCTATTCTGGAGAGTCCTGTGAAGGGTGACCCTGTGGCTCATCTGCATACCTTCAGGATAGGAACTCTGGTATCGGGGTCCACCTGCATCCTGCAGGGAATGGCCTTGTCAGAGGTGAAGGACTCAAGCAAAGTCATCCTCCTGCTCTGCGGGTTCTTTGCCCAACCTTGACCCTCCTGCCCTGAGGATAGTAATGTGCAAGCAGGGCTCCATGGGCTCCACAGCTGTCTTCAGCTCAACCATTCATCATTACTCCAGGCCCTGGCCTGGAGAAGGTGATATCACTACTTGTATGAGACCTACAATGCGGATGTTTGTTCTTAGAGTTGTAGGTGATTTTTCTTTCTCCAATAAGCATCAGAATAAAATGCCAGTCAGGTGTGCAGCTCTGCTGAGCTATGCAGGGCTGAGTGAAGAAGGGATGAAATCCATCATTGCAGCTGGAGAGGAGCTGAGTGGCCAGTGTATCGTTTGGACACCAGTGGGGGGTTTGTAAAACATCCAGACAGGATAACTGACTGCCTCTGCCTCTGACAGTTACTGGCAGTATGTTGCTGTCTCAGCATCCTGTGTTCTATTGGTCTTTAGTAAGAGGACCCTTCCATCCTCCAGTGCTTAGTCCAGACCTCGTGGCAGGTCCAAGGGACCATATGGAAGCCAGTCTCCTGGCACTCCCTGGTACATTCCAACCCACTTACTGGAGGCTGAAGGGAAGCAGGGAACTAGGTGACCTGTCCTGGGTCTGGCTCAGGAGTCATATTACAGTTTAAATCTTGGCTGCTAGTCACTGATGTGTGACTTTGGACACATCATTTAATTCTTCTCAGAGAACTTAATTTACCTCAGTTCTTCATCTGCAAAATGGAAGATAATGGTAATATGGGTAGAAATTCAAAATCTGAAATGCTCCATGATCTGAAGCTTTTTGAGTACTCACACAGACAGTCCCAAACCAGACCTCCTGTGAGAGGTGGCTATGTATAAAAGTGTGTTTAGACTATGTACATAGGGTATACATGAGTCATAAACTTTGTGTTGAGACTTGGGTCCCATCTCCAAAATAATTCTTTATTTCTTTACAATATATGCATATATTGTAAAAATCCTTTTGAGGACCTGAAATCAGAAACACTTTGTTGTAAGCACTTTGGAGATGGAGTACTTAAACCCTGTCCCTGACCTCACAATACCATCAGAATTAAATGAGAGAGTATGTGTGAGTCCCTTCTGCTCCGGTATAGTACAACTACTGATAATTCAGCTTGACTATTAGCAGTCTAAACCATGGCCCACCAGGGACTCATGACAATGATACTTCTGATATTTGGGGCCTGTCAGTTTAACTTTATTGAGAGGTGCTGTGCACTCTACTCCTGGGTACCAGGAACCTCTCCTCCAAGTCACAACTAAAAATATGTCCAGGAACCCTAAATGACCTCTAATAAGCAAAACTACCCCCTAGCCAGCATTGGAGACCACAGCTCTACATCACTTCTTGCTCCCACCCTCAAAGTTCCTCATTGCTCTGAAAGCATGCCCATGCTACTGGACCTGTTGGCATCGAGCAAGGGGCATCTTGCACAAAGCCATCCCCCTATTTTATGTGTTCAGGCCATTTACTGATTCACTGTGCTACTTACTGACTGGGCTTTTGAGATGTCCCAGGAAGGACTGGAGGGTGTCTTCCTTGCCAAATCTGACTCTGTGATCCTCATGCTTCCTGGATCCACTCATCAAGATACACTTTGTTGTTGGCTTTTTAAATAACCAACAATTGTCTGTCACTATCATGATCTTCTGAGCCTCCAGAGCAATAAACAGCTCTGGTGACAGCTGCAGCAGCCTGTAAGTGCACAAATACCTCTCAAAGCATCTCCCCAGGCACTTCAGAACAGCTAAGTGGATAAAACTGATTCCAGCTATTACCTGGGTGGCCACTTGTGTCTGCAGACCCCACCCTGGAGACAAGAGGCAGACTCTGATGATAGAAGTCAGGAAGGGAGGGAAGGACCTGGTCCCTGACTATCCTTCTCTGCAACTTGGTGGCTGAGGCCATGCACTTTTGCATATTCAGGAAAGGCCTCAGGAGCTGATGACTTTTCATTTCTCATTCAAAGTGCAAGAGCTGGAGTAAGCTAGACAGGAGAGAGGGTGGGGTAGGGGAGTAGTTCACATTTTGTGTTAGTGGACTTGGTGATGCTGCTTCCTGGTGTGGCTGGCTTCTTCATTACTCTTTGTTGCTGTGGCAAGAAACAACTAACTCCAAGAATGAAAGTTAATCTTGGCTCACGGTTTGAGGCTATGGCCTGCCATGGTTTGGAAGGTATGGCCAGGGAACATGAAGCCCACAGTCAGGAAGCAGAGAGGTAAAGCTGATGCTCAACTCGTTGTTTCCTTTTTTCCCAGCCTGGGTCTCCAGGGTAAGTCTTCCTTCTCAGTTAAGTCTTTCTGGGAAGCCCCTCACAGACACATTAGGAAGTGCCCCCATCCCACCCCATCCCTCCAGTAATTCTAAATCCCATCCCATTGACAGACAGAGAAGATTGCCTGTCCCACCCAATCTCTAGGCTTCAGCCACACAAGAACTACAGCTTTCTCACCTCTATATCCCAGAACTGAAGTTGGAGACTTATTTCTTATTTGGATTTACAGATAAATGTCATGCTTAGCTGTAGAACCACTGAAGATCCTAAGCCCTCCCACTATCAAATTCTTCCAAATGAACTAGAATTCTCAACAGATCCTCAGCTTTCCTTGGTGCAGCCTAGACACCCAGGCCACAGACTTGGACATCCTTGGCCTTGCAATAGAAACTCAGATCTCAACCATGGTCATCTGACAAGACATCCTTGTCTCTTGCATTCTGGTTACATCTCCATGTTGAGCTGGGCATTGTACCTTTTGCCTCTGCTTAGAACTCTGGTTATTATAATCCTTCACCTCTGTAATAAGAGCAATCAGTAAGGCTGATGGTTTTGATGTCTTCAGTCCTGGATTGACTAACCCAATAAACTGTAAGATGATATTAGAGGATTGATTTTGGCCAAAATACTTGTCTCTTTGTCTCCATCCCCTTCCTCCCTTAGAGGCTGCCCCACGGCACACTTCAGTGGGCTCCCATGTTCTCTGTCTTCTAGTTGGATTTTTGCTAATAGTCATTTTGCTAATGACTTTATGGAAGACCAGAATGGGGTGGGAAAGAGAGGCATTTTCTTTTCACATCTCAGGCCAAGGCTGCCCTAGTAAAAATCTGGGTGCCAAGGCTCTGGTGCACTTCCCTGGTAGATGGTACATCACACATTTTGACATGCTCATGGCTAGAAACAGCACAAAACAGGAGTCTTGTGTGGCTTTGCTGAGATAAAACTCTTAGTTGCTGAGGTTGGGCTCTGGGGCTTTGTTCCCTCACCCTTCTCCTTTGCTGGTATTCTCTGCATCCCTTCACTTTTAGTAAGCTATAGCTGTAAGTCCTCATTAAATAGGAGTGTAGACTGGGGTTTCCCAGAATACCCTCCAGGCCAACAGTACTTGTCCCTTTAGGATGATGCTTGCTATCCCCTGCTGTATACAGTCTTAGTAGATATGGAAATTCTGTCTTTCACCTCCCAGCCCCCAACCCTAAATGTTCCCCAAAGGCAGGGCCTGGGCCTTTGTGCTCTGTGTCTCCTGGCCAAGTGCAGTATCTAGCACAAAATATTTATGAAGGAAGTCAGCAAGTCTGCACATAATGGATTCAAGAGGTACTTTCAAAGCTGTGGGTGGTAAAATCAATTTAAAAGGTTATGGCCAATGTTTTTCAATGCAAGAATAGAATGGAAAATATCAGGGTGTGCCGTGCAGTGAGGGCAAGTTTCATTTCTTGAAAGTTTTGTCTCCGTACTACATGTGAACCAAATGCTCTCCAGGGTCACAAACTGAAAGGGTTTCCTGCTGTCCACTGCCCTAGTTGCACATCTGAAGGTCACTGGATATAAAAACTGGGGTCTTCCCTTACCAAGGACTGTCTGCCAGTTGTCTGGTGACAATGGCCACCTAACCTCCCTCTCTCTGGCCACTGTTATTTGACCTGTTCCTCCTCCTCTTCACTCTAGAATGTGTACTACACAAGCAGCCAGCAGATCCACGTGGGTGTCCTGAGCCCCACTGTTGATGACGACGACAACCGATGTCTGGTGGACGTCAACAGCAGGCCACGGCTCATCGAGTGCAGCTATGCCAAGGCCAAGAGGATGAAGCTGCACTGGCAGTTCTCTCAGGTAGTGGTCACTGTAGGGGTGGGGCTCCTCCTTGGGGCACTGTCTCAACCACTTGTGAAGAGCAGTCCCTACATGAGTGACCATGGAGCTTTCCTTTCTCTGGTCTCTATCAATTTGGCCTGTATTTAACTTTTTACCTTTGCTTGGCCGCTATGTCTCTCATTATGAAGTAGAATCCCCAAGAGCTTCCCACCAGAGGGAGTCTGCTGTTAGGGTCAGCTTCTGCCTGAGGTTGGGGACACTGGCCTTCTAGGCGGTAAGGTGGCTGATTCTTACTTATAGGACATGAAGGAGCACCACATGCTCCTGGAACTCCAGAGTGCCTGGGCACCTGAACACAAGAATCAGAGGAGGGCAGGAGGGACTGTCAACACTCAGGAGACTAAGTAGCAAAAGCCGATGATATCACTCAGACCTCCCAGCCAGTTGCTTCTGCCATGAGGAAGGATGCTGGCAGGGCAAGACAAGGAACTTTGATCTAATTACTATCCCCTGCTTGGGGGTGGAAGATTCTGGTAAAGGGTGGGTGGGTAGGTGGGTGGGTATCATATTCTGTGGACACAAGGCATCTTTGGCCTGTGACCTGGGTACAGAAACTAGAGGTCTTTGAGAGAGCCATCCTTGTCTTAAGTGAGTGGTGGAGGTCAATACTAAGCAAGTTCAAATCAAGGTCATAGACTTAGGTGCTAGTTAGAGACTGGGAATGAGAGCCTGAGCCAGAAAAGCAGATGGGAAGGTGATTTATAGAGAACCAAGGGGGTTCAACACAAGCAGATAGAGGGTGCTTTGACAGCTCTAGTGGTGGAATTGGGCCTGCAAAGATGTAGGGTTCGATGAAAAGAAACAAGGGACAGGAGACTATGTTAATTCCCACCATGGTGCCTTACCAACCATTGTCATACATCACTTCCAGTAGGAATAACACATCCTTGCCTATGACTACTCATAAAACACCACAAATTCTCTTTTATAGTTCTAATCATGGCATTATATGGGAAGTACCCCCCCCCTTGAAGATCAGGGTTGGGACTCGGGTGTGACATTGGACTCTTGTTTCTTCCTACTTCATCTCCTGTTGAAGCCCTAGGTTCCCCAGTCATGCCCTGTTGCTGATCAACACTGTACCTGGCAAGACACTTGTCCCTGCTAAAAGTCTGCCACAGAGACACACAGAATGGAGCTTCCCTCCCTCAGGTTCACAGGCAGAAGAGGCTCAGTGGAGTGACTGGGGAAGACATTTGAGGTCTTAGTGTGTGTGGAAAATATGGCTGGGGTTTCTTGTCTCATGCCAGGAGCAAAGCAAGCTTCTAGGCTGAGGGACAAGAAGCAAGGGATATACCCCCTCCCCCGCACTGCCAGGGAAGTGGGTGGGGCTGACTTTGCTAGGATGAAAACAGATTCAGGGCCTTTGGCAGTTATACCACAGTCTATGGAAACTAGTCCCTACTGCATTCAGCTAGGTCTCCAGGGCCCCAAGGTTCAGCTCAGAGGGGTTCAGGAAGTTAGGGGAACTGGGGATGGTGGTGTTAAACCTCTGGAAAGCTCAGGCTTCCAGGATCTCAGCCCAGGACCGCGGTCACCCCAATCACCAGGCAGATTCGAAAGCTTAATGCAAACTGCACGAGGCTTTATTGTTGTTTAACGAGCTAACCCCATGTTAGCTCGGGTCTTTCATCCATCCACCATGGGATGGCTACAAAAGACACCTCAAACGGGCTGCATAGAGATCTTGTAGGGCAGTATAAGGGGAGTGTCTAGGGGTATGCACAGGCTCAGGATTGGTGTGCCTCCAGGCTTGGAGGGCTTGCCCTGTGTTGATTGGCCAACTGGTTGTTATGGCCCATAGGCCCTCCCAGGGTGGGCCTGCGTGTCATTGCTGTGCACTTGTCTGTAAAGCACACCCAGAGCCATAAAGCATAGCACCACCAGCTAACTTCTGATTGGTTCCTTGCCACGAGGCAGGCATCTGACTTTCTAGTGACTAGGACAAGGTCATGGCAATCACGTGTTACTGTCATGGCTGCTGAAATGGGGAGCTGGTCCCTTCAGTGGCTTTTCGGAAGACAGGGTACTGGAACTTTGCAAGTGTTCCACTTGACAGAGGGAATAGCATGAGTCAGAGGTGATCCATCAAACCTACACCGAGTCACAGTGTTCAGATGGGTGTGACCTGATCCTGGGGGGGGGCATAGTTGGGAGTTGCCAGAGCAGAGGATGGAAGAAACACTGGGCCTCATCATGGAGGATACCAGAGACTGGGAGGCTGTACAGCCCCTGGGTACATTTAGGTCTAGGCTTTCAAAGCCCCCTCTGGTGGAGTTTGGGGAGATGGGTTAGAAGTTTCAAGAAAGGAAGAGACAGGATGAAGAGTTAGCAGGAGGCTGAAATGAAATTGGAAAATTTGATTTCTCAAGTTCCTCTCTACCATGACCTTGAGGGCCCTGGGGATTCTGGCCTGCCTCAAGGCCACTGCCCAGGCAGCATCTGGGACTGACCCAAGGCTCTCAGACTCTGGCCCTTGAACTAGTTGTGTTTATAAGTGTGGCTGACTCCTGAGATGGGTGAGCATGTGGCTCACCTCCCTGAAGGCATGAGGACAGCTGCTTCTGGACTGTCTTGCCATAGCCTACGGGAGTCACAGGCCAGAGGGTGTCCTGGGCCCTGGGAACTTGCATCACCCAAATGTGACTGTTCCTCTTTCACAGACTCTCCCAGCTCCCATGTCAGGCTTTGATCCTGTAGAAACTCTGGAGACATCTCTGTCAGTCTGTCTTAGCCTCAAGACAAAACCATCTCACAGTGAGGTCCTTCCTCCCTCCATTTCAGAAGGTAGTCTCAACCAGGCAGCCTCACAGGACTCCTACCTGAATAGACTCATTGACCAGCCAAGCAGACAGTCCTGATGTGTAGCACTCTGGGGGCCAGGCAGTTTTCAGCCACTTTAGCATATGTCTAATTAAAACTCTCCAGGTGCTCTGGCAACCACATCTTTGATCCCTCTACCAAAGGGAACTGTTTGGAAATAATATCTTTAAATTCCTAGTTTGCAAACCCAGAACAGTCACTTCCCATTTACTATTCAATAATGACTAGATGTGCAATATTTGCTTGATATAAAATGATCAATTTTTATCAGGAGACCTGGAATTCATCCATCTACTATTCATTGATGAGGGAATCACTACTCACAAGGCCAAAGGAAACCAGGAACCTCTGAAATGATTAAAGTCTCGTGTTTGAGCTTGGGAGATAGCTCAGTCAGTAAAATGCTTGCTGCACAAGCACAAAGACCTGAGTTTGACACTCAGTACCCACATAAACAAACAAGCGAATGAATGTGGCAGTGCAGGCTTGTAATCTCAGGGCTGGGGAGACTAGCCTGCTTAGTAAGCACCAGTTTCAGTGAGACGCTATCTCGTGACTGCCACACATGTACACACACACACATAGTCTTGTACTTGGGCTAATTTTCTTGTAACACATTTTAATCTTTGCAAATTATGCAGTGACCTGACCAACTAGAATATTCTGCTGCAGAAGCTGAGATGGAAGATTTCTGTGGGTGCATTTTGAATCTCTTTTCTGGTTTCAAAGTATGCATTATTTACTCTCCTAAGGACCACATCTAAACTTCACGGATACACTGAATTAATTTAAAAATAATTCAGTGGGATTCTCATAGGTTCTACACAAAAAAAGGCATTTGCATATCTCTGTTCCATCTCATACCTTGGTTTTCTGTTTAACAAATAGTTTGTGCCCCCTCTAACCTCTGCAAGCCCTTCTGAATTTCCAATGCTTCTGGCTGAACTTGAGACACTGTTAGACACGGACATCCTGAAACCACATTTGATGAAAACATCTCCTGGCAACGCTGATGTACAGGGCTCTGATGAGCAATTTTCTGATGATGAACATTCTTTCTTTCAGTCGTTCATCAAACATTTATTGAGCACAGAGGTTTGGCAGGGGGGATGCAGACGTGAATCAGACAGGGCTTCTGCCCTCAAGGAGCTCAGGGGCATGTAAACACACAACAAAACAGGCTGATGAGTGCAAAAACAGAGGGCTGTGCAGGCCTCTGGGAGCCTGGGGTGACTGGCTCTATGTGCAGAACTCAAGGATGGACTCGTGTGTGCAGCTTGTTTGATCTGACTCTTGAAAGCTTGTACAGACAGTTCCTAGATGGAGGGAGGCAAAAGAGCACCCCAAACAGAATCTCTGCCTAGGCCAAGGCCAAGCAAAACCCAGCATCCTTTCAGAAAATGTATCTACTGTGTGGGGTGGGGGTGGAACTTAGAGTGTGATGACCAGGTGGGAAGAGAGGTTGTTAACACCCAACTCCAGACTTTACCTTAAATCAAAGGGAGGCTCTGGTGACGCTCTTAAGCAGTGTTGGTCAAATTCCATTACTATAACAAGAAGGGAGGGTTTAATGCACAGTTCTTGTCAGCTCAGCTCTATTGACAGCCTCCTGAAGGGTGACATCGCCATGGCTAGAGATGGGAGCTCACAACAAATCAGGCCTCAGGCTCTCTTTATTATTACTAAAGAGATTTCACAGTATCTAACACAAGGGTTCCACAGAGGACAAGGCCCTCAGTGACCTAAGGACCTCCCAGTAGGCCCCACCACTGCAACACCACCATGCCAAAGACGCAGACATCAACACAAGGAAGACATAGCAGCATCTGTGATGAGATCTGAAGATACCCAGGGCAGCTGGTGGGTGTCCCCAGTGGAAGAGGGGAGGCTGAAGACTGGGGAGTGAGGTAGGAAAGGGGCTGTCCTATCATCCCCAGGATATAGGGGAGATTTGGTTGCCATGAAGGCAGTAGCTAGAGAGGATTTTGAGATTCATGTCAATGCTGTGTGGGTTACAGTGATGGATTAGTGATAATGGCTGGGTGGAGGGACAGGTGGGATGGGATTAGTAAACCATGATAACATCTAGCTCTGGACTTGAACAACAGTTAGTAAGGTGACCAAAGTCACTCCCT